TGCGGGGGCCGAGGGGCGGTAGGACGCTGACCCCGCCCCCTGCTGCCGCCAGTCTGCGCCGGGCGGCGGTGGCTGCGGAGCCCCGAACATGGCGGCGGCGGCGCGCAGCTTCGTGCAGGAGCGGGAGGCCGAGCCGGCCAAGCAGGCGCGCGTCGCAGGCTCCGAGCTCGTGGACACGTATACGGTATGCTGGGGGCGCGGGCACCCGAATCGGGGGTGGCGGCTGGAACCGGGAGTCCGAGTCCGGGGACGGGTCCGCAACCGGGAGGAGGGCAGAGGGGTGGGTCTGCAATTCCGAAGAGGGAGGCCTGAACGGGGGAATCTGGGGAAGGGGTCTGGGCCCCACAGATCCAGGAGGAAGGTTTCGGTGCGGGGGGCCGGGGAGGGGGTTTGGGAAAGGCGTACGTGATCAGAAAAGGAGGCTTGGGTTGGGTGGGATCTAGGGATAAAGGGGATCTAGGGAGGGAGGTGTCTACATGAGGCGGAGCCCCTCTAGATCCTCCAGGCCTGGAGGGGCGCGGGCCTGGGAGACCGTGACAGGGTGTCCGGGAACAGGTCTCCGACAGATAGAATTAGGGGAAAGGATCGGGACCCCGCAGGCGGTGAAGAAGGAGAGAGGGCGGAACCTTGATCTGGGGGGTCCTGGGTTCACAGGTGAAATCTGCTCTGAGAAGTGAAGGAAGGATCTGGGGCCGCGAGGATTTGGGGGTGGGCGGAGACAAGAATGGGGGAGGGGTGGAGCCCAGCCTTGGGGAAGTGTGGAGTGGGGAGGTCTCAAGGCCGAAGCGCAAGACCTAGAAACCTCCGGGGCTTGGTGGGTTTGGACTTTGGGCGAGGTAAAGCAGCAAGCCGCGCATACACACTTTTAGGCTATAAGGGAGACAGGACAGAAAAGGGGGGTAGTTCCCAACTGTGATGGGGTTGGATGCCTGTGAGCCTGCTGGGCTGCCTGGCAAAAACTGGCCCTGGGCTGGGGGCGTATTGAGCATTTCCCAGCCTCCTGTCCTTTGTTCCCAGAGGTTGGGGAGTGGGTGGGGGCCTTGGCCCTGCCTGCGCCCCACCCCCTTGGCCCACATCCTAACCCCCTCCTGAGGGCCATTCCTCTGGCTTTTTCCTTTCTTGGGGGCAAGGGGAGGGAAGCGCCTGAATGGGAAGAGGGGCTGGGGGCGGCTCCTGGAGCAACAGGCATGCGCTGGAGAAATGGCTGCTCTTCAGGGCTAGAGGCTTCGGCTGAGTTGACTGTTATCTCCTCCTTCTTCCCTGAATGCTGCAGAGAGGGGAGGGAAACCAGGACCAGGGGGCCTGGTAAGGGGTGAGGTCTCTGAGCTGATGACTGGCTGGCCATCACCCATGGGCTGCATTCAGCTCCTCCTTCTTCCCTGAATGCTGCAGAGAGGGGAGGGAAACCAGGACCAGGGGGCCTGGTAGGGGGTGAGGTCTCTGAGCTGATGACTGGCTGGCCATCACCCATGGGCTGCATTCAGGTGGAGGGTCATCTTCAAAAAGTTCTCCCTGTTGGTGTGCTGAGCTGGATATTATTAACGCACCTACCTTTTGAACATTTGCTAAGTGTCAGGCACTGTACAAACCATTTTAAATGCATTACCTTACTTAATCCTTATACTTACTAGATTTTAAGTCAGAAGAACTGAGGCTCTGAGAGGGCTTAGTCTCCCAGTAATTTACATAAGTGACATATAAGCCACAGGCAGGAAATGGCAGACCTAGGTTTTGAACCCAGGTCTTCCTTAACCACTAAGCCATGATGCCTCCTGTTAGGGCTTGATTGGTAGGTGCTCCTGTTAGGCCCACCACTGCCTCCCCCCATCAGCTTCTTGGTGCCTTGACTCCTTGCTCAGCAGCAGAAATCACAGCCATGAACCAGTTGAAAGGTTTGCAAAAAAACTTGCTTCCAGGATGTAATCAGGACACTTGGAAAGAAGTACAGCAGAGAAGCTGGTCCTGCTGGATCTGCCCCTGCTCTCTCTCCCTTGGAAGGGGTGGCCTTCCCTGCAGCTCAGGTTGGGTTTTGAATTACCTGGAGGCAGGCAGGAGATAAAAAACTAAAGAGGTGGTTTGTGGTAGAGTCACCTTTTCCATTCCTTACTGATAGGTAAAGTCACAGGCTTGTCCCATGTGCTTCCCAGACCTAGTGCTGGGTCCATGGAGGAGGCTAAGAGGGGGCCCTGCTGTTCAGCAAGGATCAGGTGAAGAGGCTGATGGGCAATAGCAGCCTGACTTTGGCCATTTGAGGTGGGGGGTCTCTGAGTGCCCTGCAGCTGTTGTTGCGGGACGAGGGGACTCCTTGTTGCTGGCTGGCTCTCCTTGCCATAGGGGCTGTTGGTTTTCCCTTTTAGGTTTACATCATCCAGGTCACTGATGGCAGCCATGAGTGGACAGTCAAACACCGCTACAGCGACTTCCATGACCTGC